ACTTTCCAAAAATTCAGAGATGATATGTCAACCCAGTGTGTTTGGCAAATAGAAAATAGGTAAATAGGTTAAGTACTCTGGAAATCAGTCATTTAAAAATTATTTATTTTATATTTTTGAGAAAGGCTTACATATATGTGTGCTGGCCCTCACCTCTTACATATATGTGTGCTGGCCCTCACCTCTTACATATATGAATGCTGGCCATCACCTCTCTATACTGAAGGGAACTTCAACTTCTTATCCTCCCACCTTTACCTCTGAAATGCTTGGTTTACAGTCATGCACTGCACCACAATGCTTGGTTTATGTGCTCCTAGGGACTGAATCCAGCATGAAACTACTAGAAGAAAACAGGGAGCATCCTTCAGGATGTTGGAACATACATGACTCCAAGGGAAACCAAAACCAAAACCTGACAAATTGGTTTATATCAAAGTAAAGGTTTTTCAAGGTAAAGGAATCAGTCACCAAAGTGCAAAGACAACCTACAGTTGGAGAAAATATCTGGAGACTCCATCACTGACAAGGGATGATGGGATACATAAGGAATCCCCAAAACTCAATAGTAAAGCAAAACAATACAAAACAAAAAAATACAAAAAAATAACGATTAAAAGAAGGGGACTTGGATGTGTGGAAATAGTGCAAATACAATACTCATGTATGAAACTCTTTAAAAAAGAGCAATTGACCTAGATAGACATCTCTCCAAAGAAGATGTACAAATGACCAACAGGTGCATGAAAAAAAAGCTCAACAGCAGTAATAACCATGGGATTTCAAATAAAAATCTCAAGCAGATATAAATTCTCTTCCTAAGACTAAAGATAAGAAGTAATGGTGAGGATGTGGAGGAAAGAGAGCACTTGTACACAGCTGGTTGGAATGCAAACTAGTAACGTTGTCCTGTAAATAGTGTAAACGTTTCTTTTTAAAAATATTTCATTTATTTATTTGTTTTATGTGTACGAGTGTATTGCCTGCATGTTTGTAAGTACACACATGTCTCAGTGTCCATGGAAGTCAGAAGAGGGCATTGGATCCCCTGCAACTGGAGTTGCTGACAGTTGTTAGCTGCTAGATGGGCATTGGGATTCAAGCCCAGGTCCTCTGCAAGAGCAGCCAGTGATCTTAACCCCTGAGCCATCACCCCAGCACCATCTTGAAAAATTAAAAATGGTGCCGTCATATCCACCAATCTCTTTTCTGAGCATATATTCAAAGACAATGGAATCAGAATGTTGAGGCATATCTGCCTATCCATGCTTATTGTAGCACCATTCACAATGGCCAAGAAACAACGTAAGGGTCCAATAACTGATGAGTGGATAAAGCAAAACGTGGTATATGAACACAATGTTTAATTATTCAACCATGAAAGTAATGAAATCCCATCATTATGCTAAACAAAATAAGCCATTCAAAGACAGAATGCAGATAAAAACAAAATGGTGTATTTAACCTTTAAAAAAGATCCCCATTTCATTTTAGAATATATTGTTCCTTGCAGAAAGACTCATTGTTTTTGCTACTATCACTGAGATGTTGGCGCTTGCATCTCTAACCTGTATGTATCTGATTATTACTAGTCATAATCGGTTGCACTTGGATCCCTGGTGCCTGTGTATGTCTATAAATTCATAGGGTAGATTTCAATGGTATTGTTTATCACCTCTACTAATTAGCATAACGGAAATTTCCATGCTTCCTCCTCAAATATAATACATTTTATGTCTTACAGGGCTTATACTGAGTTCAATAATATATAACTGTATTAATTCAACTGTGAACCTAGAAACTTGCACCCACTTGTGAAAGAGATGTACTCTTGCTCTGGAGTGTGTTACTGAATATGTTAAAGCTGTAGTGAAATGCTTCTTCTAATCATGTAGTTAGTAAAAATTAAAAAAAAATGATGTAAACTTTGAGGTGTGTTGTCTGAAGAAAGGGTTTAGGGTTCTTAGGGAAATGAGGATGGAATAGCCCTCGTGGCTGCACATAATTCCTCAAGGGATTTTTCCCAGAGAAGTGGTGAAATCCCTGTGGAACCATGTTGGCTATAGACACCCACAGAGTCACCTTCATAAGTACTCTGTGTGCTGGTCTCAGAGAAGACAGAAATCAATTTCATTCTGAAATGGAGCAGAGGGAATGGCGCAGGTAATAAAACAGTCTTATTTTGTTAGGCCTGCTGCATAGGAAAATTGTATAGAAGATTATTTCTGTGTATTGTTTCATTAAACCCTCGGAAAATTCTAGTCAGGGAGATGATTAAGACAGAAGAGAATGGTGTAGAGTCAGGCAATGGTGAAAAGATAAGAGGAAGAAGAAAGAGACTCAAGTGTTTTGATTAGGAACAACAGACATAGAGAGTGGGGGAGAATGTAGTATAGGGAGAAATTGAAAAGAATGAGATGGAACAATAAACAAACACTCGAGAGGAGGGTTAAAGAGGGAGCCGGATAGTTCAGGATAGAGAAGGGAATAGATGCGGAACAAAGAAAGGAGTAACAAAGGACAGGGTGTAAGGGGAAGCAGGAGTCAGCTGTTTGCATAGAGAAGAGTGTTTCAGCTGGCCTGGGGACTTAATCAAAGGTATTAAAGATTCTTCAAGAACTTCCCAAGAAAACATACTGGGAAATGTGCCAGATGATCATCATGGAAGCTACTAGCATGGCTTGGAATGAGGGACCAACAGGCCCTGGGAAGTGAAGAGCTGTCACATAACCTTTGGAGTATAAAAAGCTCCTCTCTCAGAGCATAGCCAGAGGATTAGACAGCATCATGAAGTGCTTGTTTAGAGGTAACTATTCCCATTAGCTTGGAGAGAAGCCTGGGTTCTGTTGATAAGGCAGCATCACTTTGTAAATGTACATGGGTTACATACTACCTTTCAAGGGTTCTAAGAGACCAGAATCTGGAAAATAACTTCTTTGTAGTCATTCATTTCATACAGCAGGTGCTCATCCCACAACAGAGAAACACCCGGCTGAAGCAGCAGGGAGACCTCATCACAGACCTAGAGCTCACAGAGTGGCTCTTGGGACTGTTTTTCTTCCCACCCCCTCTTATTATGTTTTTCTTTTTCTAAGTACCTATGTGAGCAAATCCCACTATTACATCTCTAAAAATTTTCCATTTAAATTATGGTATGTGGCTTCTGAGAAGTGATTTATCCATTGGTTGACAATTTTTAGGCCATTGGAAGAAGATCAGAGAGGTATTTGAGAATTTTCAAGAATCCTTGAAAGAAGACTGACATTTAATAATCTTTTTTTTTTTTCTTGGTCTTTTTGAGACAGGGTCTCCCTGTATCGCCAGCTGTCCTGGAACTCACTGTGTAGACCAGGCTGGCCTTGATCTCACAGATATCCACCTACCTCTGCCTCCCAAGTGCTGGGATTTAAGGCATGCACCACCACGCCCAGCAATCAATTAATTTTTAA